TTGTGGCCCCTTGTGACCTCTAGGCCTCTGGGCCACATCCCATGGTTCCCTGGCTGCTGTTCCAATCTCTCCCTGCCCCCTCTTATCTGTTCAGCTTGTACTTTCAAACACTTTTATTCTTGCCTCTACTTCCGGTGTGTGGAGGAAATGTCTCAGCCACTTCCTGCCCCTGCCACCGTACTTCCCTTCTCTGTCATCATCATGCCTTTCTCACTGCCAGGAACTTGCTCTCCTTAAAGTTACTGTCTTTCCTCCTTTCTCTCACAATCCTACAAAATAAAGATCTGGAGTCCGAACGTCAAGGAGGAAATGTTGTCTAATCCATTTTCCACCCTGAGCATCCACCCCCACCGGCAGGCACTCCAATGGTGCGATGCTCTGCAGCAAGGCCTCCTTCACCTAGCTGTCTGACTTCAGTCCCTCTAGCTGCAGTTAGTCTAGAGGGGGAGAGGGAAGCACGGCCCAGCCTCTGTTCAGAAGGGTGTTATTATGCCACTCCTCTCCAGGCTAAACAATCCCAGTGCCTTTAACCCTTTCCTCTCAGGTCCTGTTTTCCAAGTCTCTAATTATTTTTGTTGCCCTTGTCTAAATTTCAGGACACAGTCCTATAATCATAGAACTTCAGGGCTCCAAGCTACCTGGATGTACTCTGGAGGAGGGCCAGCAGCAGAGGTGGCAAGCCTTGCCCTCCCCAGCCACTCACAGGGGAGGGGACGGGTCGCTCGCCCTTCTCAGACCTTCCCCATGGCTTCTCCAGCGGAGGAGAACCTTGCCTGGATCCCTCTGTAAGGAAATAGCAACCTGCTGTGGGCTCTTGTGCATCTGCAGCCAGAGCTAGCCTCCTTAAGCCTCAGCAGTCCTTCTGGGCATCTAGGCTCAGCCTCACTTTGTAGATAAGAAAACTGCCTCAGAAAGATAATTTGCCCAAGTCTACCCACTGAAACAGTCCCTTGTTGGGCTTGGTAGACTATGGCTGCAACCCAGAACTGGGGAGACTGAAGCAAGAGGATTGTCACAAGTACAAGGTCAGCATGGGCTGTGTAATAAAATCAAGGCCAGCCTGGGATAAATAAAGTAAAATACAACAAAATTAAATGAGGTGAAATGCAGGTTCTAGGTTCCTTCACCCAAGCTCTGCCTCCACCCACCCCTATCCCCCACCCTGCCCCCAACTCCTTGCTCTCACACAGGTCCTGAGCACAGCCCTGGTCTTTGCAAAAAACAGCTCAGGCCCAGAGAAAGGAATCAGGAGCCCAAACCAACTCAGAACTAACAGCATAGATGTGAATTCATGGAGGGCCCCATCCCACCAGTTGCCCAGTGGCTGTGGGGACTGACCATGGACACCTGCAAGAGCTCTGTCGCAGCCTTGGACTGGACTGCATCTTCTTTGGGAAGCTCATGTCTTTAGCACTTCCGACCTTTTGACTCATGAGAGGAGACACATTGCATCATCTAGGGTAGTCTTTATTTACAGTCAGCTGATTTCTGAGCCCGGCGATGCACACCTGTGGTTTCAGCCCTCAGGAGGTTAAGGTGGGAGGGACCCTGAGTTCTTGGACAGCCTGGGCTACAGAGTGAGACCACCTTGTCTCAAAACCAAAAAAAAGACTAAGACATAGATGAAAAGGAGACAGAACAAAAGGAAACAGCGACCCCTACGTCAAAACCACAGCTGTATTAAGACTGGTCCGGGCCCTTCTCTCACAGCCTTGATGGCTACTTAGCTCACCTTCAGTAGAATCAAAACTTGGGGTCCCCCACTCCACCTGCACAAGTGTACTGAAGCTAGATTCAAAGAAGAACTGCCTGAAGTAAAGATGGTCCCAGAGCTTGGAATGAGTGGCTGGGAAGCAGTGTTTTCCTCCCACATTTTTCAGGGTCTGTCATCCTTTAAGAGACACATACATAAAAGGCTTTCTAGGTAGTCTTGTCCAGAGGCAAGAGGATGGGCCCTGTGGCCACTCCCCTCCCATCCTGGGTTCCCAGGAAGGTGGAGGAGACTCTTTCTTTTAAAGGGGTTTCCTTAGTTCATGACAGAAGGATTCATGGCAGAGTCAACTGCAGTCAGGCCACCAAAAGTGGGCTGAGGAGATTGCTCCACCCACTGAATCAAGACTTGCAGGAGGGAGGCCCGCTTCAAGCTTCCTCTTTGAAAGGACTTTGGGAGGAGTCCAGGGTCAGCTGCAGGTGGGTGTGGGAGTAGGCAGCCCTGTGGGGGCTGGCAGACAGGGCAGATTGGCATTTGTCCTGAGACAGCCAAGGGGAAGACGTAGAAATCACCCCTGCTCCATAAGGATACTTCTCTGGAAGCCAGGAGGGAGGGTCCAGCATTGACTTCTACTCTGCTATAGGCTTAAAGTTAGACCAGAGGGAGGACAGGATAAGATGGGCAATGAGGTTTGGGGATTTAGCTCAGTGGTAGAGCACTTGCCCAGCAAGTGCAAGGCCCTGGGTTCAGTCCTCAGCTCCGGAAAATAAAATTAAAAAAAAAAAAATGGGCTATGAACAGCAGAGGAAGCCCACCCCTGGTCCCTTTCCTTTCTAATTTTAAGACTTTTTAAAATACAAAGGTCCTTTTGCTTTGGTCCTTTGGTGGCCTTTTGCAGTTTGTTTGTGACACATAGTTTCTGAGGGCTATCAAGAAGTGACCTTTTCTAGGCTGCAGAAGGGCTTGGGTGTCGTCAAGCCCTCGGGTGGGCACAAATGTAGAATCAGTGGGAAGCCTGGGAGAGTGAAGGAGTAGTCACCTTTCTCTGGACCCCTGAGCCCTTCTGTCACCTCAGTGCGGGAGCTTCACATGGTCCAGGCTAGCCTTGAACTCCCCAAGTAGCTGAGAAAGACCTTGAACTTCTGATCCTTTCTCTGCCACCTCCTGAGTTCTGGAATTACAGGTATACACCACCATGCCCAGTTTATGCTAAGGATGGAACCTAGGGCTTCATGCATGCCAGGCAAGCACCCTCCCTACTGAGTTCCAGTTCCAGCCTTAGCCTCACCTCCTTGCTTCAGCTCTGCAGACACCTGCTAGGGAAACTGAAGATGCCTGGTGGGCAGGGAGGGTGATTTGAGCAGGACCCGGAACCTGCTCAACCTGGTGGGTAAGAGGTCACTTTCAGGACGGTCTGGGCTCTCCTTCCTCTGGGCATCCCTAGCCCCCTTGTACTTGTTCTCTTATGAGCCATTCACCCCAAATTTGAATGGATTCCTTCATTCTTTTCCTATGACACTACAGGCTGCCCAGTACAGATCAAGAACTCATCATTCCTGTCTGGGTGATGGGTCCCTGTTCAAGGCCAGGTGCACAGTAGTGCTCAGGAGTAGGTGGGGAAATGAACCAACACTAACCAACTTAGGCAGGTCTGAGCTAGATGTCTCTGAAGGATAAGCAGGTGCTTGAACTGAGGCCTCAGAACAGAGGGAACGTCTCTTGGGAGAGAGAATGGCATCTCTTCCTCCCATGTACACTGAAGCTTTTGAATCTGCTTCCCCTCCCTTAGGACAACCGAGAACGGCTTACTCCAGGATCTGCCATCTACCCACCTTCCTCTGGTCCATCTGTGTACCTCCATCATCCATCCACCAGCCCAGGGCCTGGGATGTGTTAGAGCAGGCTCATGCTGGCTCATGAGAGCACCAGGTGCTACTGTCAGCACCTTGAGGGATGAGCTGTAGACTGACACCTCACGATGGAGGCAGCTGAGTGGGAGGAGGCAGCAAGCTCCACAGGCCGGGGCTTTCTCCTTTTGCCCCCCTGGCAAACGTCTGTAAGGCACTCACTCACCTGCAAACTGTCTATATCCACTCCTTCCTCCCTCCTCCCGCTGCCCTCCCTTCCTCTCCCTCACCCTCCTCTTACCTCTTTTCCTAATTATTTTATCGATTATTCATTTGTTCAGCAATCCATCCATCCATCCATCCATCCATCCATCCATCCATATTCATCTTTTGATTTCTTTCGTCCATCCACCTACCCACAGATGTTTTGTTTTGTTTGGATGGTGGGTTTGAGGTTTTTTGTTTTGTTTCTGTTTTGGTTTTGGTCTGGGTCTGTGTATCTACTTATTCCTAAGGCTCAGAGTACTTTCCAGATCTCCAAGGACCAGAAGCAATCCTTGGATCATAGGGAACCCAGGAGCTTTACTTCTGTCTTGCTCTTCTTCCTTTTTTCCCTCCTCCTCATCTGGCCCTCAGGATGAGGGAGACTCTCAGGGGGTGAGGAGGGGGCATGTCTCCACCAGAAAGACAAGGATGGCCTCTTCCTTTCCCCTGCTTCTCCTAGACCTCAGACAAGAGTGCAGTGCAGTGACACTGGCCTGGCCTTCCCTCCCCTCCCCTCCCCTTCTCTCTTTTCCTCCCTTCCCCCCCTTCCCTTCCTTTCCACCCCTCTCTTTGCCTTTCCATTTGTATTCTTTTTCATTTTCATTTTGTTTTGTTTGGATTGGGGGCGGGCAGGCTGGAACTTAATATGTAGACCAAGCTAGAGTCAAAGTTGTGGCAATCTTTCTGCCTCTACCTCCAAATGGTTAAGACGACCCTGAGCTATTACATAGATTCCGGCCCGGCTTTTTGACAATAGGTTCCCCAAGCCAGAAATCCTTAGAATTTCTTAGGTAAGCCATCAGTGAGTGCAGATAAGAGGGATTTCCATGAGGCTCCAGGACAAGAACAAGCCAGCACTTCCCCCTCCAACACACACACACACACACACACACACACACACACACCTCTTCTTAACTCTAGCTGCTTTGTAAGCCAAGTGTGTCTGCCCTGTTCCCAGACCTATGATAACAAAGGATTTGGTGTCAGCCTCTTGAGTCAAGGGGTGTGGTTCCCAAGGTTTAACCTGCATTTGAGGGAAAGGAAAGGGGACCCTTCCCCTGCACACACCTCAGAACCTTATACTCCAGTCACACCCACAGTCTACCCCAATCCACCCATCACTAAGGGGAACGGGGCATTCCTGTACTCTGTGGGGGCAGCTGTTTCCAGGTGTCCTGTAAGAACAGAAGGTTCTGATGCTTGGCTGGGGGCCAAGGGAGGAAGAGAACTTGGCATTTCTCATGTCTCTAGAGTTATCCGAGTCTCACACTGCACTGCCTCATTTTGGAGGTTATTCCATATGACCCGGCTCTGAGAAGGTGTGCAGGTTTTTCTGAGTCACACCACAAACGTACTGTGGAGAAAGGAGAGAGTGAAGTGTTTGGGTTCCTAGGACCCTCCACCTGGCTGCCATTGCTCAGATTCCTTTTATTGCCATGTCTCTGGCCCAGGGGCCCCAAGCAGCTTACGACCTGCTTTGAGGAGGTACCTAAGGCCAGCGTGTGTACTTTCTCAGGGCCATGGGCACAGGGAAACCTCCAGCAACTGTGTTCTAGTGAGATATTTAGGTTTCTCCAAGAAGCGGGGGTAGAAGAAGAGACTGGCCAATCTCAAAAGCTCCCAGCCCTGTGATGGGCTGAAGCCAGGGTCCTCTTAGCACCTACATTTCCTCTCTGTTAGAAGTCACAGCTGGGGCCTGTGAGATGGCTCAGTGGGCCAAGTGTTTGCCTGCTAGCAGGAGGCTCTGGGTTCAATCCCTAGCACCAGGTAACAGCCAGATGTGATGTCTTTGTCTGTAGTCCCATTGCCAGGAAGGAGATGGGCAGATCCAATGGCCAGCTCCAGGTTCAGCGAGACCCTGTCTCAAAAAATAAGGTAATGAGCAATTGGGGAAGATGTTAGAAACACACACACACACACACACACACACACACACACACACACACACACACCACATGGCATGATTGTGGATTGTAGGGAGGCTTAAATAAACTCAGACATGCAGAGTCCCTAAGACACCAGCTGCAAATTGGTAAGAATCTGTCATGTCCTAACGTCCAAATCGCACCCAGCCCACGGCTTCCCTCAGGATGTGCTGTCCCAGGGTGGAGACTTTCCTTTGATTTCCAGCCCGCAAATTACAAGGCGATTTGGCTTGTGTGACCCAATTAAGAGCCTTCTGACCCATGGATCTCTGTGGACACCTCACCTTCTGCCCCCAGGGGCACTGGCCTCCTCAAAGCTTGCCCACCTGTGAGGACAGAGGCTCCGCCTCCCCGCTAGAAGTACATCAGATGGAAGCAGCCGAACTGGTTGTCAATGGTGGGAAGTAATAAAAGTGGGAGAAAAGAACAAAACAAAACACTTCTTTAAAAATCCCAGGCTGGGCGTGAATGTGCGGGCGTGGACCAGGTCATTAGCCACTCTGCCCCGCCTGTCTCTCAGGGCCCGTTGTGTCAGGTTGCTCCTCCTATGGCTCCTCCTTCTGCCCCACCTTCTCCTCCCCACAGGTGTGTCCCTGGGCTCTGGCTGCCAGCCCCACTCCCTGCCTGAGACACCCGCTGAAGTCACCGACCACGAGACCCCCAAGCCCCAGAAACAGGCCAGCAAGTGACCTGCCATGGAAGGTGCCGATACCTCCAGGAGCAATGGGGCCAGCCCGGAAGCCAGGGACGCCCGCAGCCCATCGGGTCAAAACGGCAGCCTGGAGAACGGCACTAAAGCAGACAGCAAGGATACCAAGACAACCAACGGGCACAGTGGAGAGGTGACGGAGGGCAAGACCCTGGGCAGTGCCCTGAAGCCAGGGGAGGGGAAAAGTGCCCTGTTTTCCAGCAATGAGTGGCGCAGGCCTATCATTCAGTTTGTGGAGTCCGTGGACGACAAGGGCTCCAACTACTTCAGCATGGACTCTGCGGAAGGCAGGAGGTCTCCTTATGCGGGGCTCCAGCTGGGAGCTTCCAAGAAGCCGCCTGTGACCTTTGCTGAGAAGGGGGAGCTGCGAAAGTCCATCTTCTCTGAGCCCCGCAAACCCACGGTGACCATCGTGGAGCCAGGGGAGGTCCGCAGAAATAGCTATCCCAGGCCTGACTCCGGCCTCCTGCTGCGGTCTAAGTCTGGCTCCGAGGAGGTGCTGTGCGACTCCTGCATCGGTAACAAGCAGAAGGCCGTCAAGTCCTGCCTGGTGTGCCAGGCTTCCTTCTGTGAGCTGCATCTGAAGCCCCACCTGGAGGGCGCCGCCTTCCGTGACCACCAGCTGCTCGAGCCCATCCGGGACTTCGAGGCCCGAAAGTGCCCCTTGCACGGCAAGACCATGGAGCTCTTCTGCCAGACCGACCAGAGCTGCATCTGCTACCTCTGCATGTTCCAGGAACACAAGAACCACAGCACTGTGACCGTGGAGGAGGCCAAGGCTGAGAAGGAGGTGACTTGCCAGCCCCCTCGCTGCTCCCCGCTTACCCCTCTCACCCTGACCCTCACTGGGGACTTAAGTCTCCACTGTGCTCCGCTCTTTTAGAAAACAACCCTCATCACCCCCAACCTCCAGCCTGGGGGCGGGGGTGGTGGTGGTGGTGGTGGTGTCAGAGGTCACTCTAACCGCCAAAGATCTTGGGAGAGGGACATCCCTTAAGTGAGCGAATAGAAACTCCAGAAAGATTAGAAGAAGCTGGACCAAGTTCATGAACTAAATCTAAGTCAGGCCAGAGTGTAAAACGGAACTGTGTTGAACTCTTCTCCTGGCCTCTGCGCCCCCCCCCCCCCTCTCTCTCTCTCTCTCTCTCTCTCTCTCTCTCTCTCTCTGCTGGCTCCAGGTTTGCATCTGCAGTCCAGCAGCCCGCTTGCTGTGCCCTAACCTGGAAGCCCCCCTTCACCCCCACCCCCCTTTGGGACTCTTACTCTGCTTGCTCTACTTGGTCCCAAAGCCACTCCTTTCACCCCCCACCCCCCACTTTGGCATCCCTTACTCTGCTCTCAGTGGGGCCCCGTGTACTTTGTGTGGCTTCAGCCGACAGGTCTGTGCCTGTGGGTGGACAGCACTGGAGGCAGAGCATGTGTGGGTGGGTGGGTGGATGTAAATGTGTGTTTTATACGCACGCGGGTATCTGCGAACGTGGGTGTCTGCCCATATTTGTGTGCGGGCTACGTAAGTGTGTTTGTGTGAATTCCCCGTGTGTGATTAGGCGGTACTTGCATGAGGAGGGGCAGAGGCAAGTGGAGACTTGTGGATATGATGCACCTGGGGAAGGTATTCTCGGTTAAGGCCCAGCTGGGGCCGCTGGCCTTGTCCCTGCTGAGCTCACTCCCCCAGCTGCATGTGGCCTCCCCAGGGACAAATCCTCCTGGTGGCCAGTGCAGGGGCTTTACTTTCTCATTAGCTTTTGTACCCCAAGTAGCAGAAAGTCTCTCCTCACCCAGCTTCCTGATCATGTGCTTGCTGGTCACTCTCATTCTGTGTCTCTTTCCCCCAACCCTTGGGCAGCAGGTGCTGAGTTACAGGTGGGAACAGACTCAGACACCCTTTCTTAGAAGCTTCATTTGGTTCCCAAAGATGTCTTCAGCTTCCCCTGGCCCCAGCATCCCCTGGCCCCAGCATCCCTTGGCCCCAGCATCCCCTGGCCCCAATATCCCTTGACCCCAGCATCCCCTGACCCCAACATCCCTTGGCCCCAGCATCCCCTGACCCCAGCATCCCTTGGCCCCAGCATCCTCTGACCCCAGCATCCCTTGACCCCAGCATCCCCTGGCCCCAGCATCCCTTGACCCCAGCATCCCCTGACCCCAGCATCCCTTGGCCCCAGCATCCCCTGACCCCAGTATCCCCTGACCCCAGCATCACCTAGCCTCAGCATCCCCTGACCCCAGCTCAGCTCTTAGCTTCATGATGGGAGACAGAGGGCAGGAGCATGAAGCTCATTCCTGGGGACTGTACTTGGAATTCAGAACAGAATGCCGGGCACTGGGAATGAGGCAGTGGAGTCTCGGATTGGCTGCTAGGAGGTTGTCGGTTACTAGTTGTAAGACGGTGGCTCATTTCCCTCCATATGAAACTGAGGGACAGACATCTCTGTGATGCCCCAGGATTCTTAGAAACATCTCTGAGGACTCTGGGGGCGAGAAGGGGACAAAGTGGGCACAGGAAGCAAATGTTTCAGGTCCTGCTTCCACTGGGAGCCAGGTGAACACACGGGCCTCTTTTCTGTGCAAGCTTTGGCTTCACGGTGAGTGCCTGCAGAAGAGCTGGTTCTGGGGGAGCAGGAAGGTGTGGGCAGCCTGACCTGGAGACACCAAGAGCTCTAAGTTTGCTATTCTCAGTCAGGGGCTGCTGTAGGGCTCAGAGAGTCCTTGACCTCGAGGGCTTGCGATGTGGGTAAGGAAGTGGAGGCTCAGACAGACAAGATGAGACACCCTCCCAAGTGTACAGAAACATAAACACGGAACTGCAGAGGAGAATACCAGGCCTAATGGAGCATTCACAGCCTCACAGTGTACTCTTTACTTCACAGGTTGGGGGGCACACCCAAGGAAAGGAAGGAACCTGGCTAATATTACGACTGGGGAAAGATGTGCCTAGGTCTTCTTGTAATATTTGAGATCACCTTGGAAGGGGATGGATCCTGGAGTGACTGCTACCGTGGGAACTTGGGATAACGTGTGTGTGTGTGTGTGTGTGTGTACGACTGGCCTGTGTATGTTCTTGCAACACAAGGATCGATAAGAGGAGTAGGACTGAGCCGCCAGAAGACAGCACTGAAGCAGTCTGTCTGGGGCCAGCTATTATGGGATGTTGGACTTGGGGGACTTTGACCCAGAACGATGGACTGGTGTGAAGCAGAGTGTCAATGCTGGCATCCTCTGAAGGCATCTGAAATGCTCCCACACCGGCTCCCACATGGCTTCGTGCGAGGAAGCAGGCAGAACCAGCTCTGCGGGCTGGTGGTGAGGCCAGGTGAGGTCACCAAGCAGTGGCTGGGGTGGTTGCTCAAAACTGAAGGCGACACCCACGGCCACAGGCACTCATCTCCTGGACCTCAGTCTATGTACAGACTTGGAGCACAGACTGTGCTGGGAAAAGATCGTCATATGTGTGCCATATGATGATCCCTTTCTCTAGTGGACCTCAGTGTTTCCCTCTCCACTCTGAATGTCCCAAGTGGTCCCAGAACTGCTCACTGGTCTAGCTTATCCCTCTGGGTTTTCTCGAGCTCTGTTAGGAGATGAGATGAAGAGGGTCATGTACATTCTATTTACCCACTGACTTCCCTATCCATCCCAAGTCTCTCCTGCTCTAGCTGCCTGCTTTAGATGGCCCTGTTTTAAGGCATATTTGACATGGTCTCTGAGTTGACAACGTCCTAATGACATTCAAACTGGAGTGCCACCCTAAAGGGGATCATATTCAGTGACTTGTCCACATTTTAGACATTATCTGGCTCAGTTCTCTTACTGTGCCCCGTGGCTTGATTTCTCATCTTCTTGCCCAATTCTCTGAGCAAGGCTGAGCCACTCGGTGGCTAATGCAGCCACTGGTCCTTGGGTGTCTTGCCCTGCTGGTTTGGGGAAGAAAGCTCTTTGGGGAAGAAAGTCCTCCAGATACTGGGGACTGGGATTCAGGAAGAGGAGCCAGACTAAAAGCCAGGGTGCCTAGAATCTCTCTGGGCATTTTCAGGGAGAACGTCTGGTCTAGGTAGGAGACAGGGGCATGCTCAGTTGCATTCTGAGGGGATCAATCAAATGAGAGATTTAGAGACAGGAAACGGGGGAAGTGAGAACCAGGCAGGTGGGTGGTGACCCAGTCTCCCTGGAGCTCATGTGTGGGCCAGGGCTGGGCTTGGCATTTGCATGGTTACAAATGAAGCCTGGTGTGGTGGGGTACCACACCAGGCTCAGAGATGCAGAGACTCACACAAAGGCCAAGGAGCAGAGCAGAGGGGCTGGGATTTCTCTCCATCGCTTCAAACCTCTTTTCCTGGCAGGATAGGAAGAGTTTTCTTGTGACCATCAAATCCAAGGGCCTCCGAACAACAGGCTGCAGGCTGGGGTTACTTCATGACTTGTTCGCACACAGAGTCCCAGGCCTTGTTCCAGGGGGTTCTGGGTCACACGGATTCTAATGTATAGCTGGGCAAGGGAAGGTAGCCCAATTCAACTACTAGGAAGCTGAGGCTAAGAGATGGGTGGTGACGTCTGCAGAGTTTGTTGCTGGTCTGCAGATGCCAGGATGAAGCCTCTCACCCCAGGCAGCACCTTCCTCCGACTCGAGGCTGTGAGGAAGCAGAGGGAGTGAGAAGGAGACCTCAGTGAAGTCCATGGACAGATACAGGGCTGTTTGACATGGGAGCATAGAAATACGAAATCTATTCAGCATTTCAGATTCTTATCCAGGTAATTACCATGTGTCTGGGAGTACAAATTTGGCAATTAACTGGCTCATTTGGCAAATGTCACAGCCCAGGGCCCGTGCAGTTAGTTCAGGCTGACGGAAGATCTTGGCCGGTCAGATTCCTCTCCCGGGGGCCCTACCGGTCCACCTGTCTAGTGCTTGATTATGTCTACACTTGATGGCCAATCTAGGCTGAAGCACCACAGACTGCGCCACCCCTCTACTCTCAGGGGACCTCTACTCACTCAAGGCCATAAGAATTTCCATGCTGGGTGACCCACACATGCATGCAAGGGCCATCCCTGCCACCAGAGAGGAGAGGCCCCAGACAGTGTGGGAGAAGGGAACAAAGGAAGCATTTAGGGACAGGCCTGGGCAGGGTAAAGCGAAAGAAGCGAAGAGTGGGAGGAAGCCAGAAGGGAGGAATGGGGAGGGGTGGAGCACTGGGGAGCTGAGGCCTGTCAGACATCTGGGGCTGCCTCTACATTCTGTGGGAGGAGGGAGAGTGGAAGAGAGGAAGTTGGAGCCCTTGTGGGTGGGGGGAAGCAGAAAGAGGGGAGAACTGCTGAACTTCACCAGCTTCAAGGAGGTGGGAAAACGGGAGAAGAACAAGATCTCTGTCTAGACTGCCCGAGAGGTGCCTCTGAGGGCCACAGAATAAGAAGTGTGCCCTGTGATTGCTTCTTGGTTTTTACATCTGTCTTTCTCACTGTGCACACTCAGGCCAGCTACATAGTCCCTCTAGGTCTTGGTGGCCACACCTTCAAAGCATGGCTAACACTACTGACTTTCCCAGGGTCTTTGACCTGTAGGAGATACTCAACGGCCCCAATGACTTCCCTCCTGTGGTCATGGCGTCTTTGAACACCCTGTTGTTAATTCCTGTATGGAAAAAACTGACAAGCGCTAAGATTTGAGGCATATCCCCCTAGAGATCTGACCCTAACTCCTCTCCTCAGTGGGGCAGGACTTCTCCTAGGGGAGAGAAGGGACCATTATTGTGGCACTACTCCCAGCCCCAGGACCCTTCTGTGTCCTGCAGGTCTGGTCTTGCCGACTGCGGTGTGGGTACCGGGTGCCTCCCAGCCGGTGTCCGACTTCTTTTGAGCCTGTCTCTCTGCCCTGACCCATTCCACCGCCCACTGCTTCAGACAGCTTGTCTCCACTTCTGATCCTGCCCCTGCACGTGTCCAGGCTGGTCCCCTCCTCCTCCCAACATAGGTGGCTGACCAACACCTCCACTCTTCTCTCCAGACCTCAGATGGCCCCTGACCTCCTCCTCCCTCCCTTTCACAGAGTAGACTCCCAGGGCTGATCTCTCTTGATCCTTGGCTTAGACGCTTCTTGGCTTAAGCCACATTGAACTCTACCCCTTGGACTCAGTACCTCCTTTCCTCCTCTTGGCTGGCCAATCCATTCTTCTAGGAAGGACCCTTTACTCAGCTGTGGGCTGGCCATACAGCCCCTGAGAGGCGTCTCTTGGAACCACTGCTCACCCGTAGCTCTAGAGTCTGGTTTTCACCTTCTCCCAGTTGCAGAACTTTTTCTGTCCTTAGCCTTTTCTACCTCTATCCTGCTTCCCTCAGGGTTCTCCACTTCCAAGTGTTCACGATATCTTACATCTCAAGTCTGATGTCTCAGCCACTGCCCACCCCTCAGCCTGCCCTCTGTATCCTGACTGTGTTCATACCACATCTGGACTCCATCAGACCCCATGGACCAGCCTCAGCATCCAACGCAGCGCAGAGTCACCTGAGCACACCTGTCACGCCTACTGCCTTGCCCCACCTGGGAGGTGCCATAGAGATGTGGCCATGGGGACATTGTTCACTCAGTGCTTTCTCTGTGCCAGGTGCTTTCTGGGAGTTTTGCTTACAGATTCCCATCTCTCCTACATCCTCTGTAGTGGGTACGGGTGCTTAGGTTACCTCCATAGCACGGATGATGCTACTGAGGCTTAGAGAAGTTAAGGAACTTAGTAAGACTTCACAGCCTGCCTGTGGGTGGTGGTTACGGGTCTCAGTCTTGGATTCTTATTTGTGAGCTCTGGGATAGCCAATTCAAAAGGTTCAGCTGCAGAAGATGGGGAGGTCTCCTCCAGCTGTACTTTGACCCTGGTCTCCCCAGGAATTCTTCAGGGATGGGAAAGTTGCTGGGACGGACCCATCCTCTCCCTTCTTCTGTCCCTCGGGATGCAGATCTACTGCCCAGGCCTGGGCCACCTTAGAGTCTTCAGATCGCTAGGTCGACCAGCCTTTGTTTCCTGGCCTCTCTGACTCTTCACCCTCAGAGAGCAGAGTTGGAGGTGGGGGCTTACTCTCTCCGTTCTCTTCCTTTCCTTCACTGTCTTCTCCGAAGCCTCGTTCCAGAGACCTGGCCAAGTCCCCACCCTCATTTCTTCCTGAAAGCCGCTCTTCCTCTCGGGTGATGACACTTTCCATGCTGTGGGGTTTTCAGACTTTGGAGGTGGGGTAGGTGCTTACTTAGAACATCTTAGACTCTTCTTGCCCGGAGAGCCTGGGAGTGTGGAGGTGATGGGCAGGACTTCAGTCTCTGTGGCTCCCGAATCCCTGCCTTCCCCACCTCTGGACACCATGTCTAAAAGGCCAGTGGGAGCCTGTCTACAATTAGATGCCCTGCTCTGGGGGTTTGCAGCAAGTGTCCAGGATATCCCTTCAGGCTCTGCTGCAGACACCCCGTAGGCATCCCTCTGTTGGGTGAGTTGTTCAAAGGCAGCTGATGTTGCTCCAGGCCCAGCTGCTCACACCTCCTTGCCGGGAAAGCTCATCATCCCCATGGTTTGTGATTTCTTCACCTTGGCTGTTCTTATAGGTTCCTTAGGGAGATGGCTAGGAAAGGGGAGAGAGTCTGTTTCAAACCGTAGTGATTGTGGGGAGCTCTGAGTCATGTAAGACTTCTCTGAATGATCACCCCCTTATCTTCCAAGCTTTAGACAGGGCTTTAGGAACTCCAGTGGGGCCCAATAGAAAAAAAAAAAAGAGATACCCTTGATTTTAGCTTTAGCATCATGCCTTCCAATCTGCCCCAGTTACAGCCGGGTTTTCAGAGAAGGACCTTCCCCCATGTGGAAGCCAAGCATGAATGTAATGCTGATGTCTCGGTGCCCTGATAGAGCCACTTCCCAGATGCCCCAGGATCCTACAGTCTGTGTGCCTCTAAACAGGGGTCCTCTCCTCCCCTGCCTACCCTCACGCTGTATTCTTTCCTTCAGAGAGCCTGGGGAAGAGTCCCCTGTCTTGCCTACACTGCAGATGCATTCCCGTTCTTATGAACAGGTTTACAGCTGTGCCTGCCTAGACCGAGTCTGTGCCGGTGGCAACGCCAGCTCTAGCTTGCAACACAAGGCCTGTGTCATGCCACAGAAACATTGCATTGGGTTACTGCTGCAAGCCACTCCCTGGGCAGGGCTCTGCTGGACTGGGTTGAGTCCAGATCCTCTCTTTCACCCATGGCCCCAGGCCCATGGAAAGGAGCAAGAGCCTCCCACCCTTCATTAGGTGGGAAGGATCTAGGAGGCTTAGTCCCTATAAGGACATGGCCGAGCCGCTCAGCTCTAGTGGTCCAAGAGTACACAAGTATGGTGTTCGATGCATTGCTGGATTCTTGGCCACTGGCACAGAGCCCAGCAGATCTGGGGCACTGATACCATTTGCTGAGTGAAGGGCTGTGAGGATGAGTGTTGAATCTTCCTGAGTTTGCTCTTCTGGTGAGTCACCCGTCTGGGTCTCTGGTTCTGTTCCCCTCTCTCCCTGCTCCTGACAACTTCAACCCCCACATTTCCCCGCAGACCGAGCTGTCGCTGCAGAAGGAGCAACTGCAGCTGAAAATCATTGAGATTGAAGATGAGGCTGAGAAGTGGCAGAAGGAGAAGGACCGGATCAAGGTGAGCAGCCTCAGGCCCCCCTGCTGCACCCTCACTTGCCTGTATTGTTGGGGAGAAGGCAGACCTCCAGGCTTTGGCCCACAGTGATACCCATACTTCCTTGCTTGGGATCTCCCCAGCCCCTTTGACATTCCCACCACTTCCTTTCTCAGCCTAGGTCAGGCATTTAGGTGGGATTTTGCCCATCATCTGAACCAGCAAACAAAGATCCTAGACCCGTTCTTCAATGAGTCTTCTTAATGTCCTCTAATGCCTGCTTTGCCCACCAGACTACCCAGCTACTAAATACATGCCATTTCTTTTCTACTTGGGCCAGCATGGTAAGCAGTATGTCTGCTGTGGCTTGGATAATTGCAAACTAGTATGAAGTTACTGAGTGTGGAGCCTGGCCACAGGAACAGCCAACTGATTTACTTTGCAAATAATGTTTGCTCTGGTTGGGGTTTCAGCAAGCATACCCTGACTTGAAGGAGATTGTCTGGGCCTGTAGAGAGTCACTTGAGCATGGAATAGTGGCTCATGTTGACCCACCCAGGGGAAAGAGTCACAGTAGATAAGGAAGAGTAGACAATAAGAAACACCTGCAGACAGACATGGTGACACACACCTGTAATCCCAGCACTTAATGGGTAGAGGCAGAAGGACCGGTAATTCAAAGCCTTGACTACGGAATAAGTTTGATGCTAGCCTGGTATACTTGAGATCCTGTCTCAAAAGACAGCATTAACAAAGCAATCCACCCAAATCAACCACCCAAACACTTGCATTGTGATCAGTAAGTGGCATCCCTCAGTGGTGCCTTTGAATGAGATTTATGGACAAGTTAGGGCTCTGGGGGTTCTTTGAGTCTGTTGGAAACCTAGGTTTTTTTTCTCTTTAATGCAACTCTCCTTCCTCCCCCAATTCTGGACCTAGAGCTTTACCACCAATGAGAAGGCTATCCTGGAGCAGAACTTCAGGGACCTGGTGAGAGACCTGGAGAAGCAAAAGGAGGAAGTGAGAGCCGCGCTGGAGCAGCGGGAGCAGGATGCTGTGGACCAAGTGAAAGTGATCGTGGATGCTTTGGACGAGAGGGCCAAGGTGCTGCATGATGACAAGCAGACCCGAGAGCAGCTGCACAGCATCAGTGACTCAGTGCTGTTTCTGCAGGTAGCAGACTCCACCGTCCAGATTCTCAGTCCTCTCACCCACCTCATCCAGTTTCTCAGGCTCTCATTCATTATTCATCCATGCATGTATTACCCATTTACCCACTACTCATTGACCCACTATCCATCCATTTATCCATCCATCCGCTCATTACTTACCCATTCACTACCTGCCTACTACCCATCCACCCACTATCAATCCATTTATCTACCCATTCACTACCCATCCATTCACTACTCATCCACTCACCATCCACCCACCATTCCACCCACCTGTTACCTATCTGCTCACCATTCATTCATTCATCCATCCACTTACTCATTACCTGTACGCTCACTATTCATCTACCTAGCATCGATCCACCCACCGTCCATCGATCTATCCATCCATCTCTTACCCCTTCAGTCATTACTAATCCACCCACCTATCACCCATTCACTCATTGCCTACCTACCTACCCACCCACCCATCATCCATCCACTCATTACCAACACTCATCTACTCACTACCCATCCATCTACCATTTATCCATCCGTTCAGCACTAATCCTTCCATCTGTTTAATTTTCTATCCAGTCTACTCTCTACTACTCTAAGGATGGCACACAAATGTCACCTTGTACCAAGTTCAATTGCTATGTACCAGCAGTGCTCCAGGCTTGATAAGAAAGAGTTCTGTGATTAATTAGTAATGCCTGCTTTGGGTAAGGGAGGAATGGCATAAGAGTGTTGCAAATTTCTTTTATCTTTGATCTAGTCTGTTTGTGTATTCATGCATCCATCTTTCTGTCTGCTAGAATGTTTTGGTACTCCTGGGCATGCAGGACTCTATCAGGTGCCATGGTGAATAGAGAAGTATAAGACATGGTTTCTGCCCCCAAGCAGCTGCAATCCAGCTGGGAAGATAAGACATGTACAATTAGAGAACAATATGGAAACGTGTGTAATTAAATGATAAAGCATGTGGCTCAGGAGATAAGTGCCTATGGAAATTCAGAGAAGGGCCGGCGGGCTGGAGCAATCTAAGGACAACTTTGTGGAGGCGGTGGAGTTTGGATAGGGTCTTGCAGGCTGCTTAGGACTTAAGAAGGAGGAGGGATGTTCCAGCGAAGGGAGGTATGGAGGCAGGATTGAGTGGGACTGTAAAGACGGAAATACCCACACTTTCCTAGTATTTTCATGTTCCTCTTTAGTCTACAAAAGTCCCCCAAAGCCTACACAGCTTGTGCCACTTTCACAACTTCCTGTGTATGTATGCTATGTACACACCAGTGTGGGGAGCCGTGGAATCACTCCTCGGAATGCTAATTCAATCAAGGCTGACTTTAGCTGACTCGTCTGTCCAAGTGAGGAAAAGTAAGGCTAGCTATTGAGCTGATCCTAGAGCTCAGCCCTCTGGCTCTCAGCAGAGTCTCCAGCTAAACCGAGAGCTCCCTTGTAGACCAAGGTCCCCATAACTCACAAAGACTGGCAAAGTCAATGGCTGCTTTTCTTTCTTGGTAGGAATTTGGTGCACTGATGAGCAATTACTCCCTTCCCCCACCTCTGCCCACCTACCATGTCCTGCTGGAGGGAGAGGGTCTGGGACAGTCACTTGGCAACTTCAAGGATGACCTGCTCAATGTGTGCATGCGCCATGTTGAGAAGATGTGCAAGGCTGATTTGAGCCGCAACTTCATTGAGAGGAACCATATGGAGAATGGTAGGTACTCCCTTGTCCATGGGGTTGAGGCTGTGAGTGTTTCTCAGTCAATTCTGCTGCTTGATGTAGACAGGAACCTAGACAGCTGACCCCTCATGGTCCCCATTCACTCAGCCATGGGAGCATGCTCAGACTAGGGTTTAGGGATTCTAGTACACTCCCATTGAACTGGCAGGTATTACCAGAGGCCTCTAGAGCAGAGAGATTCTGGGGACTCCTCTGTGGGCCATTCATTAGCATCAAGGACTGATTTCATTCAGATCTCCATGTGACAGTCAGGTCTAACCCAGCAGTTGCATACTGCTGCTACTTGAATGGGCCAGACTTCGAACGGATGAGTTGCAGTCATCAGAAGTAACCTAGAATTACATCTGAGCTTAGAGGGAGGCCCGTCGCCATGACTGTGCTGAGTAGTGTTGAGCCCACAGGCTGAAACTGGCCTGGTGGTAGGTAGGTTGGAGATGATGGGGCATGGCGTGTCTCTCTGACTCACCTGCCCTGAAATCAGCTCCTTCTCTGAGTCATGTTTTCCCTGTAGAGGTCAACTGAATTATCTCACAGAAAGCCTCCTAACCTGAGGAACTGCACTAGTAAGCCCCATTCTACCCAATCCCAATCCCTTTAGGGCCTGAAGCCTAGGTACTTTCTCCAAGGCCACACCCCAATGGCTCAGGTCCAGTGTAAGGTCTTCAAAAACAGCCTGATTAAGGCCTCTTAGCCATCGACACACAATGGAAATGATTCTGTCTGGTCTCCAGGTGGAGCACATCACTCTTCCCAGAGGAGTGTGCAGGAAACCACCCGTGTATGATACCATGCAGTGTCCCTGGGTGGAGCACATCACTCTTCCCAAAGGAGAAGGGCCTAGCCTAGGAGTGTGCAGGAAACCACCCGTGTATGATACCATGCAGTGTCCCTGTGAAATATGGGGGATGCTCAATCACACCTAAGGACAGATAAGCCATTTTAGCAAGACAATCATTTGGCTTAAAAATGGCACTCAGATCCTGCCATCCTTTTCCTAATGACATCGCCGTGATCCTAATGGGGATGGTGACAGCTGAGGTGATTGAGGGCTCCCAGGACGTGGGCAGTATGCTGAGCTCCCTCCTATCTTACCCCTTCCCTGCTCCCTTTCGGGGTGCTGCCTCTTGCAGATGTCCAGGTAGATTCTCAGAAAAGCAGCCTTTCCAAGGGCCCCCAGCCAATGGGGAGGGGAGGGGCTACTGTTGGGCTTCACCCTGCTAGTCCGGCTGCTGTACCTTCTCATCTCAAGCGGGGCCACCGCCACTGCTATCAGCAGCATCAGTGGTTTGAGGAAGGACCGTCTTCGTCTCTGTGGTACAAACCTTGCAGGGGTGTACCTGGGTATGGTTTGGACAGATGCGAGAGGAAGGTCCTAACTGGGCTAGGGTGGCCTGTGAACCTTGTAGGAACCACCCAGCCTCCGGGTGGCTCGTTGTCCCATTTCTAGGTCATGATGGTTCCTGCCTTGGTCTCTCTGTGCAGGTGTGGTCCGGCGTCCCGTGTAAGGTGTGTAGTGAGATGGTAGCCAGGAGCCAGGTTGGGTGTGCTGACTCAGCTGCCCTGCACCTATGCCACGGGCCCAGGGGAAGCCTCCTTTGCCTCTGTCATGTTTTTGTCATGGTTGCCTAGTGGCTAGATGGTATCTGTTGTAGGAGAGAGAGGATGGGTGGCATATGAGTCAGGCCTGGGATTGACCATCTGCTGCTCCCTGATGATGGCTGGACTGCCAGACCAGAGGTACATTCCCACCCCCACAGGCCCAGGTGCTCAGAGGCACCAGGCCACCCCTAGAGATCTTTGGTTTATAGGTACCAGGGCTAGACAAACACTTTTAGTCTACTGTGTGCTGGGATCTTGCTAGATGCTGGTGGTGGAGATGAAGATGAAGGATAGGTGTGAGCCACGCACTCCTTACCCAAGAGACAGTGAGGTGGATGGAGGAAATAGAAGTCAGGAAGCAGTAAGGGATGAGAGGGGGTGGCGGGCAGCAGGGTAAGAGGCGGAGCTGGGCACTGAGAGACAGGTTAGTTGGGGTTTGAGGGTCTGCAGCTGTGTGCAGCTCACAGCTGGCCAGATCGCTGGACCACAGAGGCTAAGACAGGACCTCAGTCAACCACCCGATGCTGCCCGCAGTGGCTGGGCTGAGGTATGAAGGGGGCCAGGTATCAAATCCCAACTCTGCCTTGATTGTCGTATTACCAGGGGCAACTCACTGCCCTCACCTCCTGAGCCTTGGTTTCCCTTTCTGTCACATGGAGATGCTCATACCTGCCCAAGAGCTGATGTACGGATCAAATAAGAAATGGGTACCAGAAGTGGGTATCTCCTTGCCATTGCACACAATTGCCCTTGCAAGGAGGAGACTGTGTGTCTGGGAGGTGGTTCACTGGAGGAGCAGGGCCGGTGTGGACACACTGTTGCCACATTCTCTGAGGCTGTGAGAGTCTGGCTCTCCCTGTGAGCCAGGTCCTCTTCCCCATCTGTCCCTCTGCTGACCCACCTCTCTTCCAGGTAGTGACCATCGCTACATGAACAGCTACACAAGCAGCTACGGGAGTGAGTGGAGCACGCCTGACACCATGAAGAGATACTCCATGTACCTCACACCCAAGGGTGAGGGAGAGTATGCTACCAATGGCCGAGGTCCCAAGTCGCCCTCAGACAGGTTCCTCCTGGGTCGAGTGACCATAACTCAGTGTGTCTGGCACCTACTTCCTGTCCCTGTGTGCTGTCTCCAGTCTGCCCCTCTGTATTTTTCCTCTGGGTCACCTGCCTCCTTAGCCTACCCTCTAGGGGACAGCCTGGGGGCCTCTAGGCCAGGCCTGCCTGTCCCTGGCTCAGGGTCGTCTGAACATTCTTAGACGCCAGCAACAGACCACAGCAGTGCTTGTTACATAAGGGTGGGTGGATCGGGTCACAGGCCCAGGGTAGAGGGGGTATGCAGGTGCGTGTGGGAGCCAGGGGGGCCTGGAGAGGAGTGCGGGGGTTCTGGAGAGTAGAGGCTGGAGTGGGCAGGGAAAGATCTGGGAAGGCGCTTAGCTGGAGAGAGGAGCCAGAGGCCCTGAGCAGTCACTGACAGATGGATAAATCCACAGTGGGCAGGGCTAGGGACTGGGAGAAGTGAGCTCATCAGACAGGAAGTTCTGTACCCCGCCTTTCAAAACAATACGCAGACTTTTTGGGAGGTTCTAGGCAGCAGAGGGGTACTGGGATTTTGCCTCTGACATTCCTGGGGTGAACCAGGCTCTGACATCAGTCCTGTCCCCTCTCTGCCCAGAGCTCTGCTCTTAGCCAGTTCCATGAAAGGACAAACTGCAGGCCAGATCTCCAGCAGCCCTCTCCTTAAAAGCCCATGTCTGCCTTGTTCTAGTCTGGTCTCTCTGGCTCTCCCCCCAGTCAAGAATTAGCCTGTTGGGGCAGTCCAAATCCCACTGGCTCCTGCTTGCTTCTCCCTGCATAAGGGAGAGCCAGGGACAGAGTGGCCCCGCTGCTGACCACCAGGTGTGGGGAGTGCCACCTGCCACAATGGCTCCCTGAGAGTACCAGGGCTGAGCCACCCTGAGGCTGGTCCCTGTCCCCTCCGGCTTGGCCCCGTGAGTCAGTTGTGACATCTGTAGGTGGAAGAAACAGGTTCCTCTGGTGTCCCTGCCCTGCAGGGACAGGATGGGCAGGACACCTGCAGCTCCCAGGCTCAGGGTGGAGGAGAGGCATGGGAGGGGCTGCTGAGATGTCAAGAGGACCAGGGAAACAGGGCCACTAAAGGCTACTGGCCAAGCCTGGAAGTTTGGAGTCAGTGGGATTAGGCAGGGACGATGGCCCCCCTCCCTTGAAGAAGTTAGTCCTCAGGCTCAGGAAGGAGGGGCTCTCTGGCCAGTGCAGAGGTGGGGTCCAGGGTGGGGGCAGGGCTGTGACGGAAAGAGAACAGCAAGCAGGTGCTGGGCTGGGTGAGCCAGCAGTGGTATATGGCGTCTAGGCAAGAGGGGTAGAGACTACTACAGGGCCCTGACACAGGACTGTGTGGGAACCCAATGCAGGAGGGCGGTGAGAAGCCACAGGCTGTGTTGATACCTGGGACAAGTTCCCAGCTGACTCATTAGTCTTCTGTAGGAGGTTAGGTCTGTCGGGTGAGGACCCAAAGCCTCTGCCATGCCCCTCCTCATTCACTGTCATGGCCTCTCTTTCCTCCTACTGCCCAGGATCCCAGCCTCTGCAGTCCGGTTCATATAGGAACTGGCTCAGGAATGACATGTTGGCTTGTCAGCCTCCTGCTCTCAAAGCTCCCAAGTAGAATGACTGAGCATCTTAGCATACTCAGAACCATCCAGAATTCTAGTGTTCTGGGGACAATGGTCAATAGTGTCCCCTCTGCTTCCCAAAGGGTCCCCATTTGGGTAATGAGTTTTGTGACTGCCTCAGGCTAGACCCAGGAACTGTTCCTAATGGGATCCAGTGGGATCTCAGGGAGATGTTTGGGGTCCTAAGATTCCCCTCAACAAGCCAGAGGCCACAGGCAATGATGTTTCTGCCCCACAGGTGGGGGCCGGACATCTTACCAGCCATCATCGCCCAGCCGCCTCTCCAAGGAGACCAACCAGAAGAATTTCAACAATCTGTATGGTACAAAAGGTAGGAGGCGGCTCAGCTTAGGGTAGGTAGGGGCCCATGTAGGTGTGCAGGAGGGAATATAGGATGCAGGTACCAGGGCTGAGCCATGGATTGAATTTGAATGTCTTGACTACCCAGTGTGAGATGAATGTAGGGAGCCAGGGCAGTGTGTGTGTGTGTGTGTGTGTGTGTGTGTGTGTGTGTGTGTGTGTGTGCATGCATGTACATGTGTGCTGGCTAATGCAGAAATGCATGATGTCATTGGCTAGGCAGAGAGAGAAGCTGCTGAAACCCAATCCATTTGCTCTTCTTATCCCTGAGGGATGAGTAGGGGGAAATGGGGTGAGTGACTACCGTGAGGTTGGCCGTGGGGGCCTCTCCCAGCAAGTATCAGGACTGAAGGCTGACAGACCTGAGCTGACTTTTGTACTGTCCATGCAGTAGCTAAAATGATTTATCTAAGCTGCAAATGGAAAGGAAGGCATGACCTGACATGGGTGTGCCTGGGAATCCCAGAGGCACCACCACCACATCTCCTTATGACAGCAGTGTGGTGGGGTGGGGATGTGCCTTTCCCAGGCCCAAGCTAGCTTCTTGGGCCCTATAGATATGAATTTTAATGAACAGTAGAGAGGCCCAGCCATCGCCCTCTCCACCAGATGGCAGTGGCCTTCCAGTGTCCAGGGACCTATTCTTCATTGAAGACTCTTCCAAGGGCTGGATCTGGATGGGTGTGCCTGGCAAAAGCTGAGCATGGCTCCATGTACCTGGAATCTCAGTGCTAGGAGATGGGGGGGTCCTAGGTTACGACTAGTCAGTCTAGCCAAATCAGCAAGCTCCAGGTTCAAAAGGGACTCTGTCCCCAGAACGGTGTGGATAAGTGACCACAGACACCTGATGTTGACCTCTGGCCTCCACAGGCACATGTACATACGTGCATGCACACCTGCCCACCTATCACCTATCCTTCATTCCACATACAGAAGATGTACAGCTGTGACCAACCCAGAAAGCACCTATAGCCAGCACACATGTACATGCATGCACACACACACACTCCTGCTCTGTGTGCTAAGGGGACCACTGTGCTCCAGGTCAGGGCTGTGTGCTCCTGAAGCCTCTGTTTGGGGGGCCCTGATTCTGTCCTGGAGCTCGTGGGTATTGGGCTAGTTCCGCCAGGCACACCCATCCAGATCCAGCCCTTGGAAGAGTCTTCAATGAAGAATAGGTCCCTGGACACTGGAAGGCCACTGCCATCTGGTGGAGAGGGCGATGGCTGGGCCTCTCTACTGTTCATTAAAATTCATATCTATAGGGCCCAAGAAGCTAGCTTAGTTGGTAAAGCACTTGCCAAGAAAACACAAGGACTTGAGTTTGACTCCCACCACTCATGCGCAAAAGCTGAGCATGGCTCCATGTGCCTGGAATCTCAGTGCTAGGAGATGGGGGGGTCCTAGGTTATGACTAGTCAGTCTAGCCAAATCAGCAAGCTCCAGGTTCAAAAGGGACTCTGTCCCCAGAACGGTGTGGATAAGTGACCACAGACACCTGATGTTGACCTCTGGCCTCCACAGGCACATGTACATACGTGCATGCACACCTGCCCACCTATCACCTATCCTTCATTCCACATACAGAAGATGTACAGCTGTGACCAACCCAGAAAGCACCTATAGGAGAGAACAGCAGCAACACTGTTAGTAGCAACAGCGGCAACCACTTCATGGCTAGTATATGACTCAGCAGAGGTGTAGCCTTGTGTCCTGACTCTTGCTGGGGGAGGCCCCCAAATCCAATTTCAGGGTGGCCACTTGCCTCATTTTGCCCAATTCATCCGTTAGGGACAAGAGGACCACATGGGCTAGTGGGCACTGTTCCAGAGGGAGCTTGAGTTAGGAGGTACCCAAGGCTCTCTGCTGCTGAGGAAGCCCTGGGTGCCTCATCAATGGGGACTCCAAAGTCATCTTGATGCCTTCCCTGTTTCTCCCTCCTTCCCCTTTCTCCACACCACAGAAACCTCCTTGCCCATAGCTGACTGTTAGCATGTTCACCCCCACGGACAGGCCACCAGGCATTCTGTCAACTGTCTCTGTCCCCAAGTGACAGAATGTGTTTGTATTTATTTGCTCATTAGTTAGCACATGCATCCATCAAACATGCAGCGAGTTCCTTCAGGAATAAGGCTCTGCCAGGCATCGGTTTGATGTTGGGCCAAACAAGCATGTCCCCAGCACCACAGGAGATGGACAATTAAACAGCCAACTGCAACCCAGGGCACAGGATGTGCAGGGTGATGAGAGGCAGCGGGAAGAGGCACACATGGGTCCTGGAGGAGGCGACATGGAGACATGCTCTATGAATTTGCTGAGGGTGGGGAGCAAGGGCACATCCCAAGCAAAGGACCATCCTGGATCCAAAGCCAGAGGCAAGAAAGAAGCTGTTGCTGGAGGAAGTGAGGTCACAACCTGGCTGGAATTCCAGGAAGTGAGCGGGAATGGGTGGGAACAAGCAGTTCATGCGAGACCTGTGGGCTGTGTTAAGGGCTTCCTCCATCCCCCATTCTGAGGACAGGATCCGACAAGATGGCTCAGTGGGTAAAGGTACTTGATGTGTGAGCCTGGTGACCTGAGTTTGATCCTTGGAACCCCATGTAAAGGTGGATAGAGGTATCCTCTTGACCTTTCTTCCTGTGGGCCACTTCACATCTCATCATACACACTAGAAAGTTCAAATCCGTGTCTTATTCTGAGGACAGTGGCCTGCAGAAACACACCTATCCTTTATACACCTTCCACAGCAGGGACAACTGGGCAAGTGTGAGGCAGGCGCTGTGGCATCCTGACCTCACAGGTGGCAGAGGGACCAAGAGTCAAAGAATTGCACTTGTCCTGGTCCCGCCCTTCCTTCTGCAGGCCAGCCTACCCGGGTCTGACATGCCTTCTTTTCCTGCCAGGTAACTACACCTCCAGAGTCTGGGAGTACTCGTCCACTGTTCAGAACTCTGAGGACCTGCCCACTGTGCAAGGCAACTCCTCCTTCTCCCTGAAAGGTGAGCTCTTGGCTTTGCCTGGAGGCTGCCCCTGCTCGAGTCTCTGTTCCCTCTCTGGCTAGCTCTTCCCTCGCTTTCTGGAGGTGAGGCCTCTGACCTAGATGGAGGCTGAGCCTGGACCTTTGGTGCATCCCAAAGGGGGGAAAGGGGCCGGGCCATGGCAGTGTCTCTTGGGTGTGACATACATGCTGGCTCCTAAAGAAGGGCTGGGACAACAGGTCTCAGTGACTGGAGAGGCATCCCTACCGCCTGGCCCAAAGGCTTCTTTTGTATTACTTTCCCAGCCTCTCCGCCACAGAGTTGATTTAATGCTGTTTACCCACTGACTCACAGCAGTTGACTAGACCCCGCCCCCCAGTCTTCCCAAGCGTCATCTTGCAGCAGCCCCTCTGGGGAAGTGGGATCAGGCCTCTCGGGTGTGACTTTCTTTTCCTATACTTGACCCCTACCTACTCACTGTATTCCCATAGGTCTTGAACTGGTTGAATGGTCTATCCCTCCTGCACCCTGAGGATATAGGCTTGAAGCAGTGTGTAGTGTAGAAGTGTGTACTACTACCTGTGTGTAGCAGGCCCAGGGTCTGTCTCTCCCTCTAGGCCATAGAGGCAATTCTGATGGGTAGGGATTTCACCTCTCCCTATACCCAAAACTCCTGTCCTGGGAGGATCAGAGGCTGGGTCCCTTGGGATGGAGAAAGAAAGGAGCTGTCTGGGGCACATCCGCCCTCCCCAAAACCCCACAGCAAACAGCGGCCTCTGAAGTGGCTTTAGCACTTAGTGGTCCAGCCCAGGATAGGGCACAGCCTGTATTGAGGACAGGATTCGTGAGCTGCTAGCAAGATGAAGCAGGGTATGAGTAAGGGATTCCAGCCTGTAGGACCCAGGAGAAGAGCAGCCCCTGGGCCAGGCCTGGGACACTCTGGGACTCACCTTGGCACACTGGCTTCCAGCTTACCTGTTCCTTGCTCAAGCCTAGCCTGAAGGCCACTTGACACAGAGGGTAACAGCTCTGAGGCCTCACACATTCCCCATCAGATTGGGGGCCCCCTCCGGCTAAGGCCCGCCCTGGAAGGATCTCTTCTCAGATTCAGTGAGCCCACCTCACCCTCAAGCATAGTAACTCACCAGGCTGACTAGGAACGGCCTAGACAGGTTGCCCTGTATGTCAGGAGAAGGATACCTAAGTCCTGAGATCCCCTTCTCCATCCCCTCTACCAGGCCACAGGCAGACGGGGAACACCGGTGCAGGGGGGGTGGGTGCGCCAAGCCAGCTCCAGCTCCCAGGTCTGAGCAAGGCTGTGGGGCACAGGAGAGTACAGTGCCCCACCCCAACCTCACCCCCACCCCGCGAGGTGTTAGAGTCTCAGCCTCCTGGATAGTAGGCGCATGCTACTAACACCTCTCTCTCTCCCAGCAGGCACTGGGAAAACCCCCTATCAGTTCACAACCTTGGGACAGGCCACTGCAGAGTTTTCCAAGCCACTGGACCGCAGTGGGCTGTTTAAAAACAATCCCGGTACCCACCTTCTTCCCATCCCTTCCCTTCCGCTGCCATAGTAGGGCAGGTGGGCCGTCCTGTGGGAGATCTCTGCCACTTCGAGGGTGCCCTGGTCCCTGTTCTTCAGAGCTCCCCAGAGAGACATGCATGTCCCCGGCCCCTGCCATCCTAGCTCCCTCTTTCTGGACTTCTGCCTGCTGCCAAGATGGTTCTCCTGGGCCACCCCTGTCCCTACCCTTAGCTCTTATGGCTGGTACGGGCTTTTCTTTCCGGAAACCAAGAGGCGAGGTCTCAGTTCCCAGTCTTCATCATCACTCAGGACCCATAGAATCTTCTCTTTCTCAGGTAGCTCCCACGCTAGACGCTAGATGCAGGGGCATGCCCAGGGATTCTTGTTCAGGGCTGTGGGAAGTGGCAGGTGGTATGGCTTACCCCATGCAGTTGCAGCCTCACTAGACAGTGGCTGCCAAGGACAGACGCTGTTAATCTCCCCAGCTTCTCATTCTCCAAGTCACAGACCAGCTTCTTCCCGAACCACTGCTGTTTGCCCTGTGGGCTGAGTGGGGTTTCCACTGTGCTGTGCGCTTAAGTTCTTTATAGAGGTCCCTGGGCTGAGAAGGAGGGCCAGGGAGGCAGCAGGCAGCTTCATCCTGGGTTAGCATCTGCTCCCCAAGGACGGAGAGCCACCTGCTGGGATCTTGGGCTTGCTGTCCTAACCTTGAGTGACAGTCATACCGGCTGTCTGTGGGTTCCTGGTCTGCTGCTAGTGAGCTGTGACCCAGCCAGAACCAGGCAGAGGGAATGGGATCATGGATTTTGGAATCTGGCAAGCTGTGGTTTCCAGTCCTGATAGCTGCTGGCTGGCACGTGGCTCAGGCAAACTGCTGAGTTAGAGAAGACCGGGGGGAGGGGAGGGACCAAGCGAGGGGCAGACACTCACATGGTACTTGGCGCAAGTGGAGTTCCATAAATGAGACACATCGCCCTGACCCCCAGCACAGCCCAGCAGAGCCAGGAGTCCTTCCTTCTGGGCAGTGTTGGCGGGGGCTGCTGATTGAAGGATTGTCCTGGACTCTGGGAAAGGGACAAGTCTTTGGTGGTAAGCCCTCAGGGTGAGTGGGTGGTGGTCCTAGCAGTGTAGTAGAGACCTGGACTGGGAGACAATATTCTCCTGCTGTCTGTCCCTGTCTACCTGGCTGGCTCCTCCTTCTGTCCGCCTTGCCGCCTCCTTCCTTTGGCTAGCCTCCCAGGATTTCCAGTTGGCAACTGCACCATCCCAGCTGCTGCACACCTCTGCAGGTGGCTGAACTTGCTCTTGGGCTAGATGATGCTTGGGGGTGACTCTGGGCAGGCAGCTATGCTGCTCCCTCTGTGGGGGTCCCTGAGCACCAGCCCGGGCTCCTCTTGACTGGAGCATCTTGTCTTCCCAGGCTATCCCTCCCTCCTCCGGAGCCAGGCTTCCAAGGCCCAGCCTCAGACTTGGAAATCTGGCAAGCAGACTTTGCTGGTGAGTAAGGTGCACTTTGCGGGCAGAGGTGGGGGAGCTGTGGAGCACAGGCATGTCTAGGACAGCAACTGTGTAGGGTTTCAGGGTCTGTGGGAAGAGAAGAACTTCTCTGGGCCACGCTGGGAAAACGGGAGGCAGCAATGGCCTAAGCAACCACATGTAGCAAAGGGAGAGAGAGACACACACAGGCTTATATGTAGGGAACCTGGGTAAACACACACCGCCTTTGACCTCAGTTTAGAATCTGTAGCATGGACAGCCCGTGTTTGTGTTTGCAAGTGATAACTGGGCATCTGTGGTGGCTTGGTCTCCAAGAGGTGTATGATTGTAAATTACTTAGTTCACTGGACAGGCATCCCGGAGATGGGTCCCTCTCTTGGGGCTACTTTCCAGTTCTCATAACATAGAGGCCATTAGGGGTGGTAGTGTGTTTGGGGGAGCTGGAACACTAGGAAGTTATATTCAGGATTTACTCTCTAATAACCTTAAGCTGGGATTATTAGAAAGCAGCACTGGTGGTGTGTGTGGCCAAGGACCCAGACCACCTGCTGGCACCTCAGAACCACATACCCCCTTTCAAGGCTCTTCATTCTTATAATACGATGGTGAGATGAAGTGGCCCCCCATTCCCTGCAGACCGGATGCATCTTACCCTTGCCTCTCTCCTAATGCTTTCCTCCCAGGGTCTGTGCTAGTTCCTGAGAGGGCTAAGCAGCGTACCATGCAGGTAGCATCAGGGCTTTGTTGAGATGGGGCCAGAGCTCTTGGCTTCTACTGCTTTTGCATTTTGAGGTCAGAGCACAGGATTTGCTCTGTTCTCTACAGAGCAGCTGGGGCTGGTTTAATTGGAAAAACTCTTTAATTTGTGGGCGAGAGGAGCTAAGTGATTGCGTGTGTAATGTGGAGCTGGGCCCAAGGGCATCGAAGCAGCAGGACTGTGGAAAGCAGATAATGGGAAAAAATCGTTCCTCTCCCTATCATATACATTCCTGTCCCCCAGACCTGAGTCCCCATAGAGAAGGCTCTCCAGCCTCTGAGGGCTCCAGCAGGACAAGGTTGTGGTGTCCAACTGGCACCTAGTGCTGGGACGATGGAAGCCAGTGTAGCATGCACAGAGGCCAGCCTAAGACTCAGGCTGCCTGGCAATTGGGACCCAGCCATCACCACCTTGCTGTGCAGTCGTGTATGAGTTGATCTTCCATGCCTCAGCTTTCCCATTTCTAACTTGAATTCCTCAGCCTGGGTGATTGCACAGTCCTTCTAACTCTCACATACTGCGATCCTAATTAGGGAGGGATGGAAATGAGCACCTTGCTCACCCATTGCCCCAGCCTTTCAGACTGCAGCCATGTTCACTGGCCTGCAATCCATATGTGCTATTGACTCAGCCTTTCTGAAAGGAAAATCCATTCACCTCACCCTGTGGACTGCTTTGGGGGTCCTGGAATGGACCTGAGGGCTGGAGAACCTGGCTTCAGGCCCTGCTTTCTTAGAGCGGCCTCATGATGCTATCCATGCTCAGTTTTCCTTCTTGGGCCTCAGTTTCTTCCTCTGTGAATTGATGGTTGTGGGGCGTTTACCCACCAACCCCACAGCTCCCCAGAGTTTTCTTGAGTGCGAGCAGCAGGAAATATTAGATAGAAGGATTTATTTTGGAGACGCTTGCGGAGATAAACAGATAGAAAATAAAGGATAGCCTCGAGAGGGCCTGGAACCTTTTCTAACGGGCCCGACTCTCTGTCCCAGGGTTTTTATAGAGACGCCAGAGGGTGGAGCAAAAGACCTCCTCCCCCAGCACAGCCAAGTGCAGACCATCTCAGACACCTGCACTCAGGCCCGTGGTCCTAATCATCCTCTATGCGGACCTGCTGGGTAAAGCCACGAGGAACCAGAGAACGGGCTCCCACAGATGGTTTAGCTCAGGTCTGGGCTGCAAACCTTCCTGCTCTGGCATTGCCTAGGCCTGCCTCCTGCTGTGCAGGAGTCACAGACTAGGAGTGTCTGGGAGGCACAGAGCAGCTCCATGTCTGACCCACTTAGGGACAGGGCTGATTCCCTCCTGAGACCCTCCTGAGGCTCCTGGTGCTCTAGTAGCCAGGGACAGCTCCACTTTGCTCTTCCATTCCAGCCCAGGGGACTTGACTTCTCAGTGCCCCAGGCAGGGATTAGGAGGACAAAAGGAGAAGGGCCGATTTCCCCGAAATTGTCACGTGACATGCATGACCCAGAGCGGAGGTTGGCAAAGCTGTTCATGCCTCTGGCCAGAGAGGCTCATACTCCACAATTATGGACGGTGGTTGGGGAACACTGTAGGTTGGGGCAGCGATTCACTCATTCTGTCCCCATCTGCTAGGGAGAATCATGTAGAGAGCCTAAGCTGACATGTGAAGTGCCTGAGACACAAGAATGATACCAAGAAATGGGGTGGGGCAGGGCATGATGGGATCTTGGAGACCAACCTCTGGGTCTCTTATCCTGCTCCCCTTGTTCACTAGCTGGGTGACTTGGGCAAGCTGCCTAGCCTGTCTCTGCCTTGGTTTGCTTACTCATAAAGTGGCCATGATCACAGTAGCCTATTTAATTGGATGATTGTAAAACCTAATTGAGTCTGTCGATGGAGAGCCCTTGGCACAGTACTGTGTAGTTTTGTAGAACACAAAGTGCTATGCACATGGTGGCCGCGGTGGCCCTCGGAGGACATTGTAGGTGGCGGATGAAATCCAAGCTCATATACTCAGTGACAGGAATGGGTTCTAGTTAGAATTTGGACGGACCCAGAAGTTCTGATGATATCAGGGGCCACCTCCTGGTAGCAAGATAGGTGGGTAGCTCTTGCAAGTCAGGCCACAGGGCAAAGGCGGGTTGTAGGTCTGGTCCAGCATTGCTTGGGGAGGTCTAGGGTGGGTGGGTTGGTTAGGGAGTTCTGCTATCACCTGGCTAATCACTCCCGTTTCCATTTCCCTCGCAGTCTCACTACCGGCCATTCTACGTCAACAAAGGCAGCGGGATGGGATCCAACGAGGCCCCCTGAGTTCAGCGTGGAGCCCCGCAACCCCGTTCTCCTGTCGCTCCTGCTTTCCAAGCTGCTGCGCTCTTGCGGGGCAGGAGCCCCGCCCCACTCTGCCCTCCCACAGCCTCTGGCAGCCCCCTACCCCACTCCAGGGCACGCTGGTTTCCTCTGCTCCCCTATGGGTTCCTTTTCTGCTTGATGACATACAGTCACTGTGATTTCTATGTGCGAGAGCAAGTTACCTACCACAGGGTGAGAGACAGTTGGGCTCCTTTCTTGTAAACCTCTCCCAAAGCTGGTCACCAGGTCCACTTGGTGCCAGTCTGTTTCCCCAGCCCGGGGTCTACCATGTCCAGGCTTGGTGACCATTTCCCTCCACTGTGGACGGTAGGTGCCCAGTTAAGGCAACTTCTCTGTGCCCATCCCTTGGACTCACGTTTTTATCAGTAGCCCAAGTCTGTCAGGAAGGAACCGGTCCTGTGTGTCCTCTTGGATCCCACTTACCCAAGCCTGTGTGGCCTGGCCACACCTTAGAGGATGCTCTCAGCATCTTGGGTTTTTCCTGGTCCAGCTGTGAGGCTCTGCCATGTCTACTTTGAGGCCGCAAAGCCGGAGAATGGGATCTCCTGCCCGGCAAGAGGATCGTAGTCTAGCTATTTCTCCGTCATTGCTGGGGGGGCGGGTCCTCTGATGTGCCACGGCGCACTCATGAACATTTGCCCGTAGACCTTCACTTATATGGAATTGGGTACTCTTCACAGCGAGGGACAGCAGGTGGGCTGGGAAGAGTGGTGTCGCTTGGGAGGTACCACACATATCAGGGGAGTCAGCCCCCATCCATATCACATGTCACTAGGCTTTGAGAGGGCCAAATCAGCAGCAGCACTGGGTGTTTGGGGGCTTGTCTCCCGCTCTGGGCCGATGGGGCCGCTCGGGTCAGCTTGCAGGGGCGGGGAGGGGTACTTTCGGCTTGGGCTTCCCCCTCCCTGAATAAACCATTTGTCTCTTTACTTCTCCGGATATGAATGAGTGGGTGGCTCCTCAGGGTCGTGGGGAGCTGGTGTCCAGTCATCCTCCCTCTTACTCCTTTGGTTTTGAGACAGGGTTTCCCTGTGTAGCCCTGGCTGTCCTGAAACTCACTCTGTAGACCAGGCTGGCCTCGAACACACTTGCCTCTGCCTCCTGAGTGCTGGGATTAAAGGAGTGCTCTGCCGCCACCACCACCACCCAGCTCCCTCTTATATCTTGAAAACATGATGCCTTTGGGTCTAGTCTGGGTCTCTGAGGAACAGAAACCTGGAACTTTCTGAGGCACACTTTTATTAACACTGAACAGGAAAGGTGGAGGCCCGGGGAGTCCTTAAGTAGCCCGAGAGCCACTGCGAGTGGTCAGATCCTCTGCCACCATGCCCTAGGGTCTTCCATGGGTGCTTTGAGTTAGTGACTTGAGCTCTGTGGTAGAGATGGACCAGAGGCATGGCCCAAGGATATTCTCCATGGAGGGACCCTGGGTGGTGGAGGCCACAACTGAGGCTCTTTCCCTAGGACAGCACTGTCCCGGGCTTGGGGTTCAGAGGAAGGAAATGACACCACCCAAATCCCTAGACTAAGGGACAGTCATGGAGGGCTTCCTGGAAGAGGTGATCAAACCAGACAGAAGCATGATGTAGCAGAGAGAGTACAAACTTGACAAACTTTCCCCTGGTGGGGCCTGGATATCACATGACTTAGCTCTAATGGTCCTTACTCTTCCTCCTACCCCAGGCTGTCAAAATGGCGATGGGGGGGGGGGGCAGCCACTACACCACACACCACACACTGTGAAGAGCACCTAAATCAGCTTCAGCTGGTCTGCCTGGCGCAGCACCATGCCACCTCCTCCTCTGTCCCTCTTCCTATGGGGTTTGAGGGGCTTTCAGATCTCAATAGCCAGGCCTCCCATGAGGGGCCCCTGGGAACCAGGAGAAAGGAGAGCTAGAAGGGAGAAGTGGGGGGCGGGAGGCTCAAAGGGCTCAGGAGAGGCAGGGGTCCCGGGCCACTGCTAAGGGGCCATGCCATGCCATGAGAGCCGAGAGGACAGCATTCCCCACACTTTGGCTGCTGCTCCCTAAGCCTCAATCATGCTGCTGTTTTTCCTAAGTAACAGTCCCCAAGGAGTGCCCAGCAGGTCACCTCCCGTGTCCTTAATGCTATGAAGTCCACGGACCTTTCCTAGGACCTGGGATGCAGTGAAGGCTCCAGAGATGCCCAGACTCTGAGAACAGTGCTCGCCCAGGTGGCTCCCAGGCCCTGTCCCCACTGCCTGCTGCAGAGGAGGGGGTGGGATAGGAGCAGAGTTCTCCAGGGGAGAAGTCAGGGAGGGCCTGAGCCACTGCCTGTCCTTAGTAGGGCTGTCACCTACAGCACAGAGGCAAGGCAAGGAGGATGAGAGCAGCGTCTGGTGGCCCTGGGCCCTCTGCTGGGACCCAGGTGGCAGCGTCATTGAACACACCCCCACTCACCAGGCCATCACTGTCACCGTCTCTGGAGCTGTGACTATAAAGCAACCAGGAACCCTCTCTTCTCAGTCCCCAGGCCACCTCCCTCTGAGAAGATGACAGACCAGTGGCAGGTCCCCGACAGAGGGGAAGTGTCTCTCCCAGAAGCAGGACATGTACCACTTCAGGTTCCTCTCAGACTCGGCAAAGCTCTGGGTTGTAGGCAGTTCTGGGTAGGGCACGGAATGCCTATTAGCAGGCAGGGAAGACAGAGCTGCACTGGGGATGACAGGAAGCTCTGGCTGGGCGACTGGGAGACCTGACTTCTCATCCTGGCCCTGCCATCTTTTCCTTGTACCTGGACGAGCTATTTACCCTCTCTGGGTCCAGCCTTTCCCGGCGTTTCCACTGGATCCATCATTGCTGGCATCCATCCTCAGCTGTCACCGCAAAGAGAGTTGGAAGGGACTGGGAGATGTGCTTGGTCAAGGTAGGGACTGGGGTGGAGACTGGGCTGGAATCCAGGTAGCCAATGCCCATCCCCAGGGCTCTCTTTCCCCAGCCCAATTACCTCTTCTTTCCTTTAGATCTGACCATCCCAGACTCAGACCTCCAGACCTTGAGTCCTCGACCCAGGAGAAGCCTTTTCATTCAGAAGAGAAGGCTGGGGCCCTACAATCTTTAGGCTCTGCTCTGGGCCTCCAGGACTCAGAGCAGAATCCCGGAGGGACAATGCCATAATGTCCTGGAACAGTAATTCTCACACATGGGTAGGCTTGGGAGCTCAGAAACAGTCTCCTGAGCAAGGCAGTGGAAGAGGAGAGTATCGGGGACCCAGGGAGGTGTACAGTGATGTGTCGGGGCTTCTCTGCATGGGAGGAGCCAGGTGGGAGTGCAGAGTCAGAGCCATTGGGCCTGGGCTGGGATCCTGGCTGTTCCACACAGCCATTGCTTGACCTTGGACAAGTTGTCCCGCCATTATACGGAAGAAAAACTTCTAAGAGATAGCTGAGTTCCAAAACCCTGTTTGCAAACCCTGGGAAGTGATTAATAATCGAGAGATTGTCACTTTATCATAATCACTGAAGCAACAAAGTGAACAATGACAACATCCCAACCTGGGTGCTGTTATATATTCTTTCATAATTTCATACACTCTTACCTTTCAGAACACTTTTTATTTTTTTGGAGACTCTCTTGAAGCCCAACCTGGCTTCAAACTCACTATATATCCAAGAACGACCTTGAACTCACCATCTTCCTGCCACATGTTGGGATTACGGCACCTGGTTCTTTTTTTTTTTTTTTCTTTCTTTCTTTCTTTTAGCTTTTGCATTTGCTGATGAGGAACCAATTTCTTAGCTCTGGAACTCCCGGACGCAGGCTCCTGGAGTTCTAGAACTGACCAGCAGGTGGCAGCATTTCATCATGGTTAATAGGCACAAAGCCGGGCTTCTCTGCCCTAGGCTGCGGGGCCGGGGTTGCTCAGCCAGTTCTTCCACAAAGGGAGCCAGCCTGCTTCCCCCACTCCCTCATCATTAGCTAATCAACCCTTCTTGTTTGATGAGGTGCGTACTGTTGGACGGCAAACCCCCAGCCTGAGCAGGAGTGAAGGGCTTGCCCCTTGTCCCACTAGGGCATGCTGTAGCTGGCCCAGAGGAAGCAGGTTGGGCAGAGGATGCCCCATTTTTGGGGGGCTCTGCAGTGGGGCATCTGCAGGACTGGCCTGAGCAGGGGCTGCGGACATACCAGGTTCCTTTCTGCAGCCCTCTGCCCCTCTTTGTTTTCCCATCCCATCTTCAAGCCGTCTCCCAAGAGTGACCAAGGCAGTTCTGTCTTTCTGAGGATTGACTATTAAGTTTGAAAATGAGCTGTTGTTCAGCCACATAAACAAGGGAGATAAACAATAATTACTCGGTGGATGTGCCAACTTCTGGTTCAGAATCCATCACCTTGCCAAGGCTGAGGCCCAGAAGAGGCTAAGGGAGAGAAGAGGGGCCTGTGAGCCGGCCCCAAAGGATTCTACAGGGGTACATGAGCTCAACTCTTCCCGGGTGATGAAAGTATGTCCAGGGCCTCTGAGATTCACCTGGATGGATAGGGCTCTAGGGGAGAGAGGGAGACAGGGAGGGAGGGGGAGAAGGTCTTTTGCTGTGCTCATTCATGGTTATCAATACATTAATATCAAGCGGACACACGTTTTGTTTCGTTTTGGTTTTTTGTTGTTGTTGTTTGTTTCCTTGATGGCCAGTCGGTCCTTAGTAGAGTCTTTTCATTCCCTTAAGGTTGGTTCACTGTTACATGAAGACCTTTGGTGGCGCTGAATTGGTGGGCCGCAAGCCTTACCTTGCAGGAAGCTGATCCATTAGTGTGTGGGGGGGGTGCTGCCTAGGGATACCTGTGTTCAGAAGGCCTCTGATGATTTTGAGGGTGAGGGCTATGTCACCAATGGCTAAGCGATATGGGAGTGACCTGATGGGTTTATCTCCTAGGCCCAGGTCAGACAGATGTACAGGGGTCTCACTGAGGGGACAGGATTGTGGAGAGACATGAGACCAGAGAATAAAACTCCATTCATTCATAGTCGTAGCCCACCCTCCATGCTGTCTGTAGCTGAGGTTCCGGATCGGCAGATTCAGCCAAAGACAGATTAAAAATGTTATGGAAAAAAATTGCACCTGTACGGAACATGGAGACTTTTTTCCCTTGTCATTATTCTCCAAACAATACACTTATTTACATAGCATTTACATTGTATCAGATATAGGTAATTGGGAAGATTTGAAATGTGCAGGAGGATGTGCGTGGGCTATATGCAAATTCCACAGCATTTTACACAAGTAGCTGTGTGTCTGTGGATCGCGGGGGTTGGGCACTGTAATCAATCCTTGTCAGACACCAAGGGGTGACATTATTGGAGCCGTGGCAAGAGGTAGGCACGGGAGTGGTGGGGGGACTGCAGGGTGGAGGGGACCTGAATCAAGCTTTCACTGGGGGGAGGTGAGCTGCTGGAGTGTGGTAAGCAGGAAGTTCAATCCAGACTGTGGAAGGTGAGCTCTCTGAAGAGGAGACAGCCCTGTGGAGAGTCATGGCAGGAAGCTTTGGAGGGACCAGCCAGGCCTGGCATGCAGTGGAGTTCCCTGTGTGAGGAGGGCAGGGCTCAGCCCATCAGGAATCAAGGCTCCACTACAACCACATGCGGAACTGGGCTCTGGGCAAGTGCTGGGCTGTGGGCAAGTGCAGTGGCTGTCTCCATGGGAGGGGCTCCAAGAGAAGGACTCGGCACAGGCTGTGAGCAGAGCACCTCATGAACCTAGACAGCCGGAGAGACATCATCCAGGAGCCCCATTGTGGAGGTGGGTGGGCAGGCAGACAGGCCAGCTGACCCATGCTGGGCAGGAAGCAGCTGCAGGCAGAGGACTGATAAGCAGGACCAGCAAGTGGGGGAGCACAGGTCCCAGCTGCAAAGGGTGCTAGCACCAGTGAGGGGTGCTTTGTCTGGACTGCCAGGGGCTAAGGAGAGTAAGATCCCA